GACAGTGAAGTGGGGTCAACCCCTCTTCCCCGACCTCTCTCCCCCACGGTGCAGGGAACCCCCGCACGTGCCTGCTCCGGGGCCAAACCCCCATGGGAGCCTGTCCTGGGGCCAAACCTCCCTTCCACTGCATGGCCTGGCCCATCTCCTCCCGCAGCATGGCCAACCCTCGTGGGCACCTGCCCCGGGGCCAAACCCCCCTCCCGCGGCGCAGCGCGGCCAACCCCCTCCTGCAGCATGGCCAACCCCCATGGGCGCCTTCCCTGGGGTCAAACCCCCCCTCCTATGGCCCGGCCCGGCCAACTCCTTCCCCTCCCGCAGTGCGGCCAAACCCCGGGGCCGACTCCCGCTCCCGCGGTGCAAGGATACCCCTGCTCCCAACTCACCCCTCCGGTGCCGGCGGCGCAGGGAAGCCTCCGCACTCCTCCTCTAGGGCCAACTCCCCCTCCCTCAGCTCGCAACAGAGCTGTGGGAGGGGGAGCAGCCCGCACACTTCCAGAACCCCCGGAAGTGACGCGGGCTTCAGAGAGGACTTCCGTCCACCCCGTGGGAAGCCGGCTCTACACTAGAGGTAGTTAGTGGGGCTTCTCGGGGGTGGGGGGAAAATGGGGGACAGGGTTGCCCGAACGCCTTGCAATTGACTGGTCGAGGCCTCGCGATCGACGGGTTGGTGACCACGGGTCTAGACCATCCCTGATAGACATTTATCTAACTTACTCTTAAATATCTCCAGAAATGGAGATTCTACAACCTCCCTAGGCAATTTATTCCAGTGTTTAACCACCCCCTGACAGGAACTTTTTCCTAATGTCCAACCTAAACCTCCCTTACTGCAGTTTAAGCTCATTGCTTCTTGTTCTAGCCTCAGAGGCCAGGAAGAACAATTTTTCTCCCTCCTCCTCGTGACACCCTTTTAGATACCTGAAAACTGCTATCGTGAGTTTCTTGTTCATTCAGTGGGTATATTGTCAAATATTTCAATGATACAGTCATTTTATATGGCATTTGTGAGAGACTTGTAGCATTTCTATAACTACATCAGAGCTGCTGCCCACAGGACGTGAGCATGTTTATATTACTGTTCTGCCCACAAATGAGGTGGGAAGTTTCACATCAGAGTTGTAGTATGATTTGTGTGTTTGTTACAGTGCCAAAGGAACGGCTCCCATAAAGGATAGGTAACAGAATGCTGCTGTTCCCAAGACTTCTCTGAACACAGGCTGGACTCTTAGGATTCCACTCACCTTGTACAACTGCACAAAAGATTGTTTCAGTACAAATCTGTTTGCCTCCTTGGGCTGCTGCTGATTGACAAAATGAGAAATGTGTTTTTACAAAAATACAGAAAACTAGATGCGAATGGAGCAGAGCTTCATAGCTGATGGGCGGTAATACCTATTAGCTCATCTAGTCTGTTTCCCAGAGATCCGCATGTTCCCTGCTCAAGTGCACTAGCGAGTGTGGTTTTAAAAGTCTGCAGTAATGGGCCTTCCCCAAGTTTTGTCTAACAGACACAGTCTAACAGATTTTACTTGCACGAAGATCCTTTCTTGGTATTCGGTTTCGGTTTAATACTGACACCGCTGAAGCAATTGTGATATTGAAAGTCATGTGAAATGATTTTCTTTGCGCTAAGGGTATTTCCCACTCACAAACAAGATTAATAAGAATGCTAGGATTGTAACTCCCATGTCAGTAAATCAGGTTTGTGTATGGTTCCCTGGTTTTATGGGAGGAATTGAACATGATCCTTCTTTTGGATGGAAACCTATTGGAGGGAAAGATTGCATCCTTACAGAACATTGACCTATATCTATAATGCCCGTGTTCAGATTTCAGAGGTACATGATTTCTAGGTAAAGGTGCCCTGGTGTTCTGTTAGGAGCACACTGTTAGGCGCTTTCTTCCCCTTTAGTAGGGGGGTGCTCTAGGCCCCACCCCCATTCCACTTTTTTCCTCCATGTCCTGCCCCAGCTGTGCCCCCATTCCACCATTTCTCCAACCTCCTGCCCCAGCCTCTTCCCCCAAGCATGCACTGTCCCCACTCCTTCTCCTCCCTCTTGGAGCTTCCTGAATGACATGAATCAGCAGTTTGCAGTGCTCTGGAAGCTCTGGAGGGAGGGGTGGGAGTTGGTCAGAGCAACCAGCCACTGGCAGGTAAGAGGTGCAGGGAAGGGAGGCTGTGAGTGACCTTGGCTGCCAGTAAGTGCTCAGCACCCACTAATATTTCTCTATGGGTGCTGCAGCCCCAGAGCATCCACAAATTGGTGCCTATAGATATGTACTCCGTACCAATAGCTTCATGCATGTGTTCTTTTTTCTCCCCAGTCTAAAAACCATGCAATGAGCATACATGCCTTTGACCTTAACTCTGATGGCGTATGTGAATTGATCACTGGATGGTCCAATGGGAAGGTGAGTTTACATGGAGAAAAAAGGAATAGCTGTGAGTCAAGATATTGCATTTGAACAAAGCTGTTTAGTAGTATAAGGCTGAACAGACAAACTATTCGTAAGACTTGACTGTGTGCTGAAGAAATGGTAGAGTGAGCCTGGCTTCTCTTATGAATACACTGTCAAATACGGGCTGTTCCTGGCCAATGGGAGCTATGGGAAGTAGTTTCCCAGTCTGCACTGCTTCCTGCAGCTCCCATTGTTTGGGAACGGGGATCTGCAGCCAACAGGAGCTGCAATCTCCAGTACCTGCAGAGGCGCAGGTAAATATAGTGATGGTGGCCCACCAGGGGCTAACTTCTGGATGTTCTTAAATAACAAATGAAGGATACATATTCGATAAGGAAGCTCTAATCTTAACTGCGGAAGGGTTTCTACCATTCCATAATAAATGCATCATACAGTTGATAATATAATTAATATATAGACTCTCTATATAAAATAATTCTGCTTCCTTTTGATACAGATGCTTAGCATTGTTGCTTGCTAGAAATGTCTGGACTAATGTTCTTAAATAACAAATGAAGGATACATATTCGATAAGGAAGCTCTAATCTTAACTGCGGAAGGGTTTCTACCATTCCATAATAAATGCATCATACAGTTGATAATATAATTAATATATAGACTCTCTATATAAAATAATTCTGCTTCCTTTTGATACAGATGCTTAGCATTGTTGCTTGCTAGAAATGTCTGGACTAGCTACCAGGTTTCCCAGGGGCACCATTTGCCAATGTTTTCTTGTAAATCTACACTCCTTTCATACTAGCTCCTTTCATTTTTCTCAGAGAACTTGATTTAATTCACCTCAGACTAGCAACCTAGAGCTCATTGGAACCTATGGTGTGGAGCTGCTAGACCTGATATAAGATGGCTGTGTAGGAAACCTCAACACACTTATTCCTACTCATTTATAGTATCCTCACTTATTGATTTGAAAGTCTCCAGCTTCTAGAAGATTGCTGTGTCCTGTGCTTTGGAAGAGCAAAGCTATTCAGACTTGAAAAATCTCCCCATGGAATGATAATTAAAGTTCATATTTATGCATAAAAGTACATATGTCATCAAAGACTAAGAATAAGGCTGGAGACTGTAATTGCTGCCTTAAGGTAACTTAGAGCTAGGTCCTGTCAGTCTGCTTCAGTGGTATATATCACCTTCACAGCACAGGCTTGCAATTCCCTTCTCTTTCTCTCTTATTCACTTTTCTGGGGGGAAGCCCCTTTGAGGAAGGTTGATGTTTACGTGAGTGTCTGGGCCTGTCGTTTCATTGCTAGTTAATTTCAGTGGTGTTTTCTTTATCTGACCAAAGGAGCAACAAATTCACCTGCAGTTCCGAAAGCATGGCAGGATTTCTCATTTGATGTCCCAGAGTGCTGCATCATTTACACAGTTTTCATCCTGTGTCTTGGGACTGTTCTATATTCCAGGTTGATGCACGCAGTGACCGAACGGGGGAGGTCATCTTTAAGGACAACTTTGCTTCCTCAGTTGCAGGGATCGTAGAGGGGGATTACAGAATGGATGGTAACACCCAGTTAATTTGCTGTTCAGTTGATGGTGAAGGTAAGAGCCCAAAAAATCCTTTTGCCATATCAGTGTATTAGTTAAAGTTAAGTAGACATGTCAAGAGCATTACACATAAAGCATTAGTTACTATATCTGCTAAATGCTTTTGGAGTTTGCATGTATTTTTGCCTGTCAAATCCATCATTGTCCTTTGCAAAATCCAGGAAATAGACGTGTCAAACTTTCTGAAAACAAGATTTTTGCATACTGCCTCTTGGGTGATAAACAATCTAACCTGTTTTTCTCTATGATTACCTGTGTTCCTACAAAGTTGATTTGCTAAGTGTGAAGCAGGATTGTACTCCATACATGCGGGGATATGTCAAGCCATGCTGTTAAAGTTGAATGGTGAGGGGAAAAATAAATATGTGCGGGATCTCTTCAGCTTCTTCATGGTAGATAAAGGACGTCTGAAAGAGTTTTTTAAAATACGTTTCTGCTTGGGTTTTTTTAATGGCAATTTAGGAAATAACCTTGTGTTTCATGGTGATTGAATGGAGATCTTGTAAACTTTTATTATCCCATACAAAGGAAGTGAAACTTAGTTGAGAGGAGAGATATTTTTACTCAAACTATTTAAATTGCTCAAACTGAATATACAGATAAGCAAAGGAGGTCAAAAGAAAGGCTCATAGGTGCCTGTCTTAATTGTCTAACAGTGAGATCCACTCAGTAGTAACACAAGAGCCTGGCACAATCTATTTGGAACACAAGTCCAAATATATTAAAGAAAGTAGCACGGCATATTACGTGTGTGTTCTCCTGAGTGCTTTTACCGCATGTCATCAGGAGAACGTCTGCTTATGCTTAGGTATGGAAGCCTTTTTTTGCTGGGGAGTAAAGAACCAGGGACTAGGGCTATATTAATAAGGCAGCTCATTTTAAATAAGCCCTATAAGTTAACATCTTTGACCTTGATCCTGCTCTTTGAGGCAGGGGCTGCTGTCTTTTACTGCACATATGTTGCAGCATGTTGGCATGTATTGCGCACACGCACACACACACAGAGTACATGGCAATGTGGGACCCTTTATTCTTGTTGGAGCTTCTTGGTACTCCTATATGAGATACTAATGGATGACAATTCTGCAGTCAGTTGCATGTGTGCAGTAGGGATGTAAGTGACTAGTTGCTTCCCTCCTCTTGCTGCCTGTATCCGAGAGCATCAGCTGGTGTTGGGAAGAGCCACCTTAAAAGTTGGTTCCCCCCAGCACCATCTCTGCTGGGCACAGGGAGAGCAGGATAGCGGGGACTGGGCATAAGCTGGGAATCAGTTGATTCCCAGCTTGTGCCTGGTTCCAGATGTGCCTCTGCTTTTTAAATATATTAAGAGCCGACAGGCTAATACATTGAAAAGGCTGAAGTACAGCAGGAGAGACCTGGTGCGAGCTGGGACAGCTGATTACCAGCTCATGCAAGGTTCCCCCTACTGCACTCCTTTAAAAGGCATCCCTAGTGCGCAGAACCTTATACCCTCACATGGGCTTTATGCAAGACATTGGGACTCTGTATGGGCATAAAATCCAGCCATGTTGAGCCAGTTTCAAGATCATGGCCATTGTTCTTCTGTCTTTCAATGTTCTCTCTCTCTTCCTCCCGCCATCTAAATTGAATTGTTGACTACAAAGGAAAGAATTGGGTGTATGTCTGTCGTGGGGTAGTGTGCACTTAAACTCAGAATCACATGCAGGTTTTCAGCTTCTCCACCCCTGCTTCTTGGTGCTGCACAGTCAGGCAGAGCATTCAGTGCTGGATTTCCCTCCATGGATTTCACTTCTCTTGCACACAGAACTAACAAAAAATGACAAGGATGCACAACTGTAGATGTACAACTGTTTCAAAGACCTCTCTTAAAGTTGCGGGCCTTTGCAGGCAGTTCTATGGTTCCTCGCTTTCACCTTGAACTATCCTGTCTCAGGCTCCCCTCCCACTTTCTTGGGTTTAGGGACACCCTTTGGGATCTATCCACCTGGACTCAACCCTCTATTCATCTTGACTATTCTGAAACAAGTCTTAGCCTGGTACCTAGGTCTCCTTAAGTGAAAAATAGGAGATCTGTTAGGAAAGCAGTGGGAGCTGGCTAGTTAGAATAGATGGAAATGGTGAGTTGCATTCATACCAAGATAATAACAAGAACACTTGACCCCTTAAAATTCCTAGGAAAAAGTCTGGTCAGATCGGAGTCATCACAGTCTTAGTAACGGAAGACTCATCTAAGCTAAATGTAAAATAAACTAAAATAATTCAAAAAGACAGAGCTACATTGTTCTGTCACTCATTCTAATCTGTGAGGGTCAGAAGTTTCCAAATGCACTAGAAGTCATAAGTGCCCCTTTAAATGTCCAGTTATGTTGTCATGGTAAGTATTGTGGGCCATATTCTCAGCAGTACTCCATTGACTTCAGTGGAGCTACACCCATTTATGCCCACTGAGGAGCTGACCTAATAATATTTATAAAGTCCATCTGTTAGCAGCGATTTATGCTGCAAAAGTGGAAGACTAGAGATGGCTGCTAAAGATGTGCTTCAAGTGTTCTGTGCTTTGTTTTTGTGCAGTACGTGGCTACCTGCCAGGAAGCCAGGAGATGAAAGGAAACTTGATGGACACTAGTGCAGAACAGGATCTAATTCGGGAGCTTAGTCAAAAGAAACAAAATCTGCTGCTGGAATTACGAAACTATGAGGAAAACTCAAAGGTATTTCTCAAAACAAGATGTAGAGCCCAACTCTGGTCTCACCCTAGCATGAGTCAGGAGTAATGCTACAGAGGTCATTAGTGGTGGAATGAGAAGAGACTTGGACCAGTAGGCTGTTAGAAGAACTAGAGTGCAGTGACAATGTAAAATAGAGACATCTTATGCAACAGGGCTGTTTCTTGTGTGTATTCAGTGCCAGCTCTTCTAATTGTCATACCCAAAGTTTTCCTTACTTTTTTAGTCTACTGAATGCTGTGGCTCTGCAGAACTAATGGAGAGGGAGCTGAATTCTATTCTAACTCATGTAATTGAATGATTAATTTAAGAATTGCAGAATCTTCATTGTTGGAGATGCCTGGGTGAGAAAAGGGCAGAGAGGTGATTGTGTGAGAATTTGACACACAAATGTGGTTGGGAACATGGGAGGATGTAGGGAATGAGGGCAACTTTGACAAATGTAGGCAATGAGGGCAAACTTTGACATGTAACGAAGGGCAGAGTTATGTCGAGCTTTGAGAACAGGCAGAAGGAAGAGTAGATCCATACTGCAGGTCGGGGTGGGGAACCTCAGGCCCGAGGGCCAGATGTGGCCCTCGGCTTGCCTGGATCTGGCCCCTGACACTCAGCCCCCCCCACCAGCATTGAAAAGCCCATGCTGGTGCTCTAGTCCCCCTGCTGCTCCCCTGGGGGCTGAAGTGCACAAGATCTACTAGGCTGGGCCTCCCCTTGGCTCTGGTGTGCGAGGGGAATGTGGGGAGTGTCTTTTGTCCTCGGGGGCCACAGTGAGGGTTTTTTTCCCGCTTCTGACTTGTGTACGGCCCCCGACTGATTTTTTTTTTCTGTGCATGAGTGGCCCCCAACCCAAAAAAGGTTCTTCTTCGAGTGCTTGCTCATGTCCATTCCAGTTAGGTGTGTGCGTGCTGCATGCACGGATTCCAGAGCTTTTTTTCCCCTAGCCGTACCCGTTGGGCCAGCCAGAGAGCTCCCTGGAGTGGCAAAGATATACCGGTGCATATATACCCTTGCTGGTCCTCCACCCCCTCAGTTCCTTTTTACCACTGTGATGGTAGCTGGAACACTTCTCTATTATAGTTCGTTCTTCCCTTCGTGTTTGTATAACTCGTAGTTTAGTACTTGTAAATAGTTCATTGTAAATAGTTTAGGATTGTTTCCCATTGGGGAATCCCCCCCTGCTTATCTCCCCTCCAGGGGAGGTAATGCTGGGGCCGCACGGCTTCAAACCGTGTCTGAAGTGCATGAAGCCGATGCCCTGTGGTGACCCACACAACACCTGTTTGAAGTGCCTGGGAGAAGGTCACAACACGGACAGCTGAAGATCTGTAGGAGCTTCAAGCCCAGAATGCGGCAGGAATATGATTCCTGCCTGAAGCACCTCTTCAGCCGGTGGCTCGGGAAGCGGCACCGAGCGTCTGCAGCACACGAGTATCCATCAGAGAACTATTGGCAGCACCGAGGCAGCTGGCTTTGGCGAAGCCTTTGTCATTGAGGCACCAATCTCAATCCTTGGTGCACTTGAGGAAAAAGCATAGGGGAAGTCCCCAGCAAGACGCGGCCTGAAGGTGCGCCATAAGGATGGGCACCCGGCTGAGGGCTCTTGACATAACACTCTCGAGCTGCACCGGCACCGGTTGAGCACAAAGCATACAGAGGGTCCAGTGTCTGAGCTGAAGATAGAAGAGCTCCATCAACCGTCTTTGCTGGAGGCTTTCGACGCGGAACGAGAGCTGATGGAGCTCACCTCTGCCCCAGGACTAGGGTTGATTGTGGATGAAAGTTGCCAACCTCCACTCACGGCACTGGAGTCAAGCGCACAGTTGGTGCAACCACGGCTAACCCCGAGCTCGGCGCCCGTACCATTGCTGGATCCGGTTCCGACTCCTACCATAGTGCCACACCGGTCCACGGCACCGGCGCTAACACTGGGACTGGCACTAACGTCTGCACCGACACTGCCACTGATGATGGCACCGGCACCACTTGCGGTACCATGTTTGTCATTGGTACCAATGACCAGGGCCCGCCAAACTGCGGTGAGCCGCGCTTGCCAGCCATGCGGTTCGGCACGCTGCGCATGCGCAGACCGCGCTGCGCGGCTGTGCCGGCTTGTAATCTACTCGCCACAGGCGAGTAGATTACATTAATTGTCGAGCCCTGCCAATGACAATGGTACCACCTGTGTATACGGTACTGTTGGTCCAACTGGCACCAACCTTGCCAGCACCAGGAGCCTTATTGACCCTGGCACTGCTGACTGCAGCTTCGCTTGTCACGGCGCCAATGACGATGGGAGTGCCTTATCCTGCGGTATCGCTAGTGCACGACCATGAACCGGCACCGATGCCACCACCAGCATCGCCAGGACTAGGACCAGTGCCAACTCATAGGAGAAGCTGTCAGCAATGACAAGGCACATCATCCCGCTGCTCCCTGGTCCCGTGTATGACACTGCCCTGGTCAGCTTCAGACTACTCTTCAGAGTTGGATGCCGAGTCAGCATGCTCAAGGAGGTCTTTATACAGGTCGAGGTCTTGGTAATGCTCTTGATCATCATACCGGTTGCACCGCCACAGTCCGACTTCCCTCCAGTCCTGTCAACCACAATGGCAGCCTCGTCAACAGTGGCCTTTTCGGACTCCCTGGGCATACCACCAGGCTCAGGGGCCACAACCATCTGGGCAGTTCTTGGTGGTGGCACAGTTCAGGGGCACTCTGTCTGCGACCCCTCTGACCAGACCACCAGCGTCGGAGGTAGGTTGCTTGACCTACACAGAGGTGGCCAGACCAATGGAATGCCAACAAGGGGCTCCACAGGCACCCCCACCGATAACCACCGAGCATCAGCAGGTCCTTCCCCCTCATCGTCTTCACCAGATGAAGCACTAGCCAACCAAGCCCCTGTGATGCAAGCTGTAGATGCCAGGGCACATCAAGACTTGCTTTGCCAGCTGGCAACTAACCTTGGGGTGCAGGCGGAGGAGACGACTGAGGACCTGGACCCCGTGGTAGACACCTTAACAGCGGACACTCCAGCCAAGGTGGCACTGCCGCTGAATAAGACTGTGTCCAAGTTGGCTAAGTCTCTGTGGCACATCCTGGCCTTAATCCCTCCCACCCAAAAAGGAGTGGAGAGGCGTTTCTTTGTCCCGCAGATGGGCCATGAACACCTCTACTCCCATCCAACCCAAGGTTCACTTGTGGTCCAAGCAGCAGGTCAGAAGGAGAGGCAAGGCCCCCCAGGTCCCACGCCTAAGAGCAAGGAACTGAAAAAATTGGATTTGCTGGGCAGGAAAGCCTACACAATGTGGTGGGGGAGGCTCCAACTCCTCATTGCAAACTAACAGGTTGTGCTAAGCAGATACGCATATAACACGCTCTTGGCAATGGATAAATTTAGGGATCGCCTCCCCCAGGAGAGACAAGAATTTGGGGCCTTGCTAGAAGAGGGTAGAGTGTTATCCCGCATGGCGCTTCCGGCTGCACTGGATGTCGCTGATTCCGTAGCTCACATGATGGCCATGGAGGTGGTCATGAGGCACAGTGCTTGGCTTCAGGTATTGGGGATACCTCCTGATACTTTGTAGGACCTACCCTTTGAGGGCATGGGGCTATTTTTAGAGCAAACCAACTCACGGTTGCAGAGTTTGAAAGATTCTAGGGCCACTCAAATTTCTGGGGATTCATGCCCTGGCCCCCCAATGTAGGCCTCTATCCCCTAGAACTGCCTAGAGGCCCTTCCAACAGCCCTTCAGACCAGACCGAGGTAGGAGGAGAGGATGCAACTTCATTGGCTACACTAACAGAAATAGGTGTGGGAGGTCTAGGTAGGATTCGGAAAGAGGATTGACTCAACCCTCAAACCAGCAACTGAAGGCATCGTTTTGAAAACACACTTGAGGACTGCATCTCAGCCTCCACTATAACCCCACCCTTTGGGTCCTGGCTTTCCCATTTCCTCCTGGCCTGGTCCAAAATTACTTTGATTCGTTGGGTACTTGGCCTGGTTGAAAAGGGATATGCTATTCCCTTCCTGTCCCATCCGCCCACTCACCCTCTCTCCTCGTTCCTCTTCATGGACCCCCTCACAAGATCCTGCTCAAAAGCAGTAGGTATCGGCTCTTCTGGCTTTGGGGGCCATAGAGCCTGTTTCAACAGGTTTCGAAGGGAAGGGGTTTTACTCCCAATATTATCTGATCCCCCAGTCCAAGGGAGGTCTTTGTCCCATTCTGGACCTAAGGAATCTAAACTCCTTTGTGAGGAATGTAAGATTCAGAATGGTGACCCTTGCCTCCATCATTCCATCCCTGGAAAAAGGAGACTGGTACACTGCCCTCGACTTGAAGGATGTGTATTTCCATATTTCGATCATCCCGGCCCACAGGAAATTTCCCAGATTCCTTGTGGGCAAACACTACTTTCAGTTCACGGTCCTACCATTCGGCCTCTGTATGGCTCCGAGGGTATTTACCAAATGTGTGGTGGTTGTGGCCACATTCCTGAAGTGGCACAGGATCCAAGTGTTCCCTTACCTCGATGACTGGTTGATCAGGGGATCATCCAGAAGTCAAGTTATGGCACACACAGAATTTATCAGGGACCTATTCTGCAAGCTGGGTCTTCTCATAAATGAGGAGAAATCCTCACTCAACCCCATGCAAACGTTGGACTTCATTGGAGCACACCTGGACTCCACAGTTGCAAGGGCATCCCTCCCCAGAGCCAGGTTCATGACCATCAGAGTGGTAATAGAGGGCCTCACAGCTGTGCTTCTCACAATGGCCCACATGTGCATGAGACTCTTAGGTCACGAGGCAGCATGTACCTTTGTAGTACAGCATGTGAGGCTGCACTTACGGCACCTCCAAGTGTGGCTAGCCTTGGTCCACAACCCAGCCCATGCACCACTGGACGAGCTCCTCATGATACCGGAGGACGTCCTCCAGTCTCTGGATTGGTGTCTCCAGGAACAGGTGGTGTGCCACGGAGTCCTGTTTGCCAGACAAACCCCATCAGCACAACTGGTGATGGATGCATCAGATGTCAGATGGGGAGCCCATCTCTTGAACCTCAGGACCCAAGGTATGCAGTGCCCTGGCGAACGCAGGTTACACATAAGTGTCGAAGAACTCAGAGGTTCAGAACTGTTATTCATGCTTAAATTCGACACTTTACACCTGAGTCTGAATAAAGAATCTAATTATCTTACCCATTACAAAGATAGCTTCCCCAATTATCACCTCTAATATCATTAGCTCACAGACATTTACCTTTTTCCCCCTCCCCCCATCCCCCTTCTGTTCTGAAATGTGATTTGTCCTTTTCATATTTGTTCATTTTTTAAAATTTTATCCTTTGGTATATATGGTTGTGACAGTTTTCTTCCACTATTTGATTTGAGGAAGTGGGTCTAGCCCACGAAAGCTCATCACCTAATAAACCATCTTGTTAGTCTTTAAAGTGCTACATAATCCTGTACTTTGTTTCAGCTACACCAGACTAACATGGCTACATTTCTATCATCTTACCTTGTAACTGTTGTTCTCGAGATGTGTTGCTCATGTCCATTCCACATCCCACCCACCTCCGTGCATTGTAAGTATCCGGCAAGAGGGAACTGAGGGGGTGAAGGGTCAGCAGGGGTATATGTGCACCGATATAGCAGGGCCACTCCAGGGTTGCTCCCTAGCTGGCCCGACGGGTAGTGCTAAGGGGAAAAAAGCTCCGGAATCCATGCACGCGGTGCGCACACACCTAACTGGAATGGACATGAGCAACACATCTCAAAAAACAACAGTTACAAGGTAAGACCCACCTCTGCTGTAGGTCTAATGGTTAAGGCCTGGATTCAGCAGTATATATTAGTATGTGCTGATGTCCCATTGGACTTCTATATGTGCTTAAAGTTTAGGGTTGTCCCAAGTAACCCCTCTTACGTTTTTCTAAATCCGGGTCTATAAAGTGAATCTCGGTTAGCTACAAGGCACTGTATAAGACAGATTCAGCCAGGATTGTTTGAGGAGAACTCTAATCGAAACATTCTTCACAGCTGTTTAAGATGTATGAAGGCTACTGTAATAGATCCCGTCCAGATGGAGGGCTCTTGGTGGAGAACTATTTTAATGAAAACTTTGCTTTTGTCCTGCTGAGGTAGATGTGTGTGTTTTGCAGCAGGTTGAATTGAGTGCTCAGGTGAAGGAAGCTGATGGGCAGAGGGGAGTGATTCCAGCTAACACCCAACTCCAGACAGCCCTGTCAGTGAACCTGGGCTCTGACAGCCAGCCTGCCCATGTGGAGTTGTGTATTTCTACATCTAATGGTGAGAAATAATATGCAGCTGCTGATAGCGGTTTTTGTAATCTCACATGTTTTGGTACCTTTAGCCAGTAGTTTCCCTGTCCCCTAGACTGTCTGTTGTTCTCAGTTTCCTCAGTCTGGGTGTCTTCTTTTCATAGAGTTTTGAATCCATCAATCTGAATAGGTTCTTCTGTGACCCTCATCACCATAGTCTCTGAAAGTCATTAGATCCTTAAGGCTTGTTCCTTCTTCCATGCAATTGTTATGTGAGGTGAAGTAAATCATGTAGATGGGATCATGAGTTTTTGTGGGCACAGCCCACTTCTTCATATGACCCGAGTTTTGAGTTTAGGATGTGCAAACCCAAAATAAATAGCGGGGGGTTGGGGCGGGGGGTGGATGGGAGACAGATAGCTAGAGGGAATCGGTAAGTATTTGAAGATTGTCTCCCACTCCTCTCCTTTTTTTTCTTCCCTCCCTCCCCTTCTCTGCTATTTATTTTGGGTCTGCACATACTAAACTCAATACTCTGATCATCTGAAGAAGTGGGCTGTGCCCATGAAAGCTCATGATGCCATCTACATGTTTTGTTAGTCTATAAAGTGCTACCAGACCATTTGTTGTTTTTTTCTATATAGACTAACTCGGCTACCCCCTGAAGCAAGTCACTCAGTGCTCTGTATAACCTTCCTCATGTCACCAGTAGGTGTGGCTAAAGAACGGTGCAGTGTGTGTGAACCTGAGGCTGAGCGTGCAGCTACTGAATCGGGGCCTCAGCACTGACTAAATGTCTGTAATCCAGCCTCTCCTAACCTGCTCTCCAGAACGCCCTCCCCCACTTCTGAAAGTGGCGCAATTATTGCCAGTGGAGAAGTATTAATTAATAACCCATGTTTCCTCTTCCCTAAGACACAGTCATCCGAGCCGTGCTGATCTTTGCTGAAGGGATATTTGAAGGTGAGAGCCATGTGGTTCATCCGAGTCTCCAAAACCTCTCGGGGCGCATTCAGGTGCCGCTCACCCCTTCCAAAGATGTCCCAGTCGATTTGCACATCAAAGCTTTTGTGGGTTACAGAAACAGGTAAGGTTTGTGGTATAGTACAGCCTCAAGCCCCATTTCCAGCACCGGCAGCGTTCCGTGTGAAACATAGCAGTGACATAGCCTCAGTAGCTTTCTATGCCTGTACTTTGTAGAAGGTCTGTGACAAGAACGGTTGTTAATTCCATTGGATCTAGGTCCTTTGCATTCTGACTCTGATTTAAAGGGGAACTGAAATGCTTTTTAAAAAACGCAAATAAGGAGCCCGATTTTCAGAGGTGCTGAACGAACACCTGCAGCTTCCATTGATGTCCGTTGAAGCTGTGGATGCTCTGCATGTTTGAAAATAGAAGTGCTATGTCCTTCAGTCTGTAAGGATTGTGCTTTTGTTCCCTTGATAGTCCACAGCAGGTTTGCCATTGTCAACTGTGGGACCAGGCTTGGGTGCTAGTGGAGTATGGGAAATATTAGCAAATTAGGAAAACGTGGTCTAGATGAAAGTATTATAAAGTGGATACCCAACTGTTTCAAAGACCATTCTCAAAGATTAGTTATCATGGTTCACTATCCAGTTGGGAAGGTGCCTCTTGGGATAGTCAATTACTTTTTGTCTATGTCCAAATTTCTTGGTCAAGGATACAGTCAAGGTCCAGACTCGAAGGGAAACAAGGGGGGGGGTCCAACTCCTCCTGCGGTCCTGTGCCAGGGACCCTGGTAATCCCCACGGCTGCGTCCCTTAGTGGGTGGGGGTGCAATGAGTGGGACAAGGTGGGTAGAGGAGGGGTTTGGGAGTCCAGGATAGGCACAGCCTCCTTGCTCCCTGCTGCTGGGTCTCCCAGGCCCAATTGCAAATATGTTCTGGCCCGTAGGTGGCCCTTGGTCCGTGAGTTTGAGACCCCTTGCATAAGGCATAGTTGGAGTCTTAATTGTTCTTTGGAAACATTTTATTTAAATTTTATGTTTTCTTTGTATTGTCCTAGTGAATGTTATATTTATTGTAGGGATTGTGGTGAATCATCCTAAATTTGTTAACATAAGAGTACAATAGATGAATCACTGGTCTGTTTGTAAATTTTTCTCTCTCTTTTTCCTTTGAATTCCTTCCAGCACACAGTTTCATGTATATGAACTGACAAGACAGCTCCCCCGGTTTTCAATGTATGCCTTGAGCAGTCCTGACTCTGCCCCAGAACCTCTAAGTTTTGTTAACTTAACAATCAGTGAGAGGGTGCAAAGGGTGAGTTTATGCTCTGCATCTTATTTTCTAGTTCTGAGCATAGTTGCTGCTTTTGTGTAAGGTGGAGAGTGCACAATTAACTTGAGAATTTCCAGAGCAAAGGGAAATAATGTAATATACTCCACTACTATCAATAAGAGTCTGAGTTTAATAGGAACAGCTTACAGCTTGAGTTCATGTTTCTTTTTAAAATGCTGGCATAGTTGAAATATTCCCAGAGTTTCTATACATCTGCAGGTATTAGCTACGTAAGATCAGAAGTTCTGGTACTTCTCTTAGTCTATAAGGTGCCACAGCTCCTTGTCGCTTTTGCAGATGCAGACTAACATGGCTACCCCTCTGGTACTTATTTGTTCCTTCAGTGTACTTTATCTAGTAGAACTTGCCTAGCTCACACTGATAGATGGGCCCCATGGTGAATGAATACATTTTGTAAATTAGGAAATGGAGAAAGGAAAAGTGCAATAAAATACCAAGGTAATTCATCTTACTTCCTGGGTTCAATTCAGTTCAAATTCATAAAGGATCAGTAGTTTGTGGCACGATAGAGAATAACCAAAATATATAGAATAATGAGCTTTTGTGGGCAAAACCCACTTCCTCAGATTAATTTGAGTGGATATAACAGAAACCAAGAGAGAGATTTAACAGCAGAAAAAGTACCTGTCAATTGTAGGGCCTGTGTTAATGAGGCAAATTAAGTGGGCTGGATATGTCTGCACAAAAGCTCATGGTTCTGTATAGTTTGGTTAGTTTCTAATGTGCTACAGGACCATTTGTTGTGTTTAAAGTCACAGACTAACACGGCTACCCTTCTGATCAGTAAATGTTCTGTGTTTCTTGGAAATTTTCTGGAATAGCAACTCACTATAGTCTGGGCTGAGACTTGGTCAGTTTTGGGGAGTGGCTTAGGGAGGCTCAGCTGTGCATACATAACGTTTGTTGCATGGAAATTGCCAGAACAAAAGTATTTCTCACTGGGGTGACTGATGGCAGATTGATCAGATATAAAAATACTCTTCTCCAAGGAAAATGTTTTGGCCTTTCCCCTCTGAGTACCATCTATCTTGGATACTTCTGTGGCTTCTGTTACTATAGCATGTGAGCATCTCACAAACTTATTCTCATCTCACTCCAGTGAGGTAGGACAGTGTTGTTGTTCCCATTTTTCAGATGGGGACCTGGTGTCACAGAGAGGCTAAGTGGTTTGTCCAAGATCACACAGGAAGTATGTGACAGAGTGGGAATTTGAACCCTGGACATCCAACTCCTAGCTGCTGTTTTAACCACTTAACAATCCTTCCTCTGTCAATTTCTTCTTATATATTATTTGTACTAGTGTAGTGCCTGAGTACCCTGGTCATGGACTCAATGTGCTAGGTGATGTAAAGACTCAGAACAAAAGGATGGTCTCTGCCCGAGAGGGCTTACATGACTTTTTTACTTGATTCTCTTATTCATAATATTCTACAAAACCGTGCTTTGAACAGTCCCCCCTTACAGCATCACAAATTTTCCCCATATCACCAAGCGGGAGAGCAAAAATAATCATGAGACATTCTGTTGTGTCCAGTAGGGGAGCTATGATCACAATAAGCTTCCAGTTGGGTTCCGTTTTCTAATAACACTTGATTTCACTGTGCAGAGCAGGATTGTGCACATGTTCACAATATGCACTGACCAGGGTGTTCTGCAGCTCTTGTCTAAGGTATTTCCAAATGCCCACTAGAGCAAATATATTCCAGACAGTTTCTCCATGTCAAGGGTAATGATAAAAGTTTATTTTTCTAGGTTGTTATGTGGTTGAACCAGAGCTTTTTGTTACCAGAGGATGCAGAACTCCAAAGTGCACCTTTTCAAGTCTGTTTCACTTCCCTGCGTGATGCAGGACAGCTGTGCATAAAAATCAAACCCAGTGGGGAGGTAATTTTTACTCTTATTCTGCTATGTTTAGTTCTAATCTTATTAAAGAGCAGAGAAACTGGGAGGAAATGCCCAAGTGGGAAACTGGACAGGGAGCCAGTGTACAAAGCAGAGGTGGGACCAAGCCATTAACATGTCCTGGTCACTAGCTTTTTGCTATTTCTGTCCAGCTAAGTATTGTAATATTCAGTCCGACCAGGGGTGCAGGGAACTGGTCTAGATAACCTCTTGAGATCCCTTCTAGTCCTAGGATTCTCTGATTATCATGGCATCAAAGTGTCTCATTGTTTTATGTGACTTGACAGGCAGATGAAATGTTCGTGTTTTAGGTAGGATATTGTCTGCAATGGCATATTTCATTCTTCTTCAGTGGTAGTTTGTGCCCATTTTTCTATCTGGGAGTAAAATTCCAAGCCCAGCCATTGATATGGACAAGATAGCATGGTGATCCTTCAGTGTTTTGATGCAGTCTTTTATAAGGAGAATGTCACCTCAATGTGGAGAGGCAGCATAGTGCCTCTGCACTGTTTTAAGAGCTTAGGTGGGATGTAACTAATGCCTGATCCTTGTGCTGGCCCTCTGCATAGTGATTTATTTCTTCTTTTGGTCCTGAGTCTGAGTCTCCTGAAGTCAGTGAAAAGATTCCCATTGACTTCAGCCCTCACCCACTGTGCTTAACTCTAGCCAAGTGCATTATCAGGCCTTCCTGTGAAAATCTTGCATTTTGATAGTATTAACTACTTTGAGCATTAGGTTGAATATGCTGCAAATTGGGTCCTATTTCATGGCCATGGAAGGAGAATTTTGAAGTGGGAGGAAACTTGAAATGTATCATTTTCATACCTGTTAGATTTCCATCAGCACAGACGACATAGATCTAGCCGGTGACATTATCCAGTCAATGGCCTCCTTCTTGGCAATTGAAGACTTGCAGGTGGAAGCGGATTTCCCTGCGTACTTTGAGGAGTTGCGGAAAGTGCTAGTTAAGGTGAGTGGGCACCAAGCGTGTCTAAATGGCAGTTGATTTGGTGGTGGTTGGTGGCTTCAAGATCTTGTGACTTTTCTTTCTCTCTATATCTAAACTTTCTGTGGCTTTCTGCCATTTAAACCTGCAGCCATGACTAGCAGTGTGCTCTGAATTAAGGAGAGAGTGACAGCCTCTCTTTTCCTAAAGTCTTTGTTATCCAAGACCCCTCCTGGCTGTTGATGATTAGGACAATTCTCCCATATTGTTACTCTAGCCAGGAGAGTCAGAGCCCTTAACGGTTTGGATGGTTTGATGGTGGGTGGTTTGGATCGTGCCTGAGTGAACCTGGGAGGTCAATAGGTCCTGAAAGCCTGACCTAGCCTTTCTCTTCCAGGCGTAGGGATAGGAAGCTGTTCCCTATTAAATAAGTGCAGTCTCCATCTTGCAAACCTAAACAATCTCAGCTGCGCATAGACTTTACAAAGTGCCTGGTTGCCTTTTTTTTCTTGATAGGTGGATGAATATCATACAGTCCATCAGAAACTCACTGCCGATATGGCAGACCACTCTAACCTTATCCGTAGTATGTTGGTTCGAGCCGAAGATTCGCGCCTCATGGGAGACATGTGAGCAGCCATTGCATTTCTCTCTCATTCTCTGTGTCTGGTGGCCAGTCATTGCTTTATGGTAGAGAAGAGCACCTGTAGATAGAAACAGTTGCATGGATCTAGGCTTTGTTCAGTCTAGGTGTGTATTATTGACACATGAGCCTATTCTTGACCTGTTCTTTAGTTGAGAACCAGCAGGTGGATGTCTCAGGTAGAATGTGGTGAAGACTCAATGTGAATCAACTCTGAACAGTGCCGACTACTGGGGGTGGACACAAGGGGAGCACTGGCCACGTGACCGGCCTTCATGTGACTCCTCCCTGCACCACACTTAGCCCCGGGGAGGGTCACCCCTAGAGTGGTGCAGGGCCTGGGACAATACCCCCAGGCTTTGTGACTTTTCACGCCACCCCCACTCCGCCAAGCCCCTGCCCCTGCTCCCCCCGGTATGCCACTGCCTTGTCCCCATTCCACCTCTTACCCAAGCTCCTATCTCTGCTCTGCCCCTGCCTCCATTCCACTCCTTCCCCCAAGCGACACGCCACTAGCAGCAGACCTGGCACCGGCTGCAGGGGTCAGCGCCCTTCCCCCCCACTTCCTGGTGGTGGTGCAAAGCAGACACACCCAACTAGTCGGCCGGGGCAGGGTCACTGCGCTTTCTGCTGGTATTGGTGAGTGTGGGGGCAGGCCCAACCCTCTACTATTGCTGCAAGGTCCCCCACTAGTCCTCTAGGCCCCCCCCCGGCCCTGTAGGATCCCCCAAAGTGGCCCAGGGTTGTTGCCTGGCCCCAATCCAGCTGCTGGCCCCTTGCTCCTTCCCCCATGTTATGGGGGGCACGTGACTCTTTGTGACCCTCCTCCCATGCATCACCCCTGGCTATGAAGTAGTGCTGTTAGTTCTCTGCTAGGCCAAAGGAAGTCTGTTGTGTCAAGAGGAAGGGCACATAGCTGGGCAGGGCAGGACTCTGGGCGGGGGTGGGAAGGACTCTGAGTAACAAGTTGAGTTAGGGTTTGGTCTTATTTGTGTTTCAGGGCATTAATCTCTTGCTTTGAACAGCTCTGTCTCCCTGAAGCTAAGGGCTAATGTCCATATCATGACTGTTTATTGCAAGAAGTCCTTTTCTCAGAGCTCCCAATCCTTAATCCAGTATTGAGAAGCAAAATGCTTTTTGTGGGAGGCATGTGCAAAAGAGTGAGAGAATAGAATAAATATATTGAGTAACTTAAATTTTTCTGGCGCTTCGGGGGGTAGCCAAGTTAGTCTGTAAATGGAGAAACTTAAAAAACAACGAATAGTCCAGCAGCACCTTAAACACTAACAAAACATGTAGATGGGATCATTAACTTTTGTGGGCACAACCCGCTTCTTCAGATGAATGGTGTTATTAAAGGTCCAGTTCCAAAATAAATAGGGAATGGGAGGGAGAGAAGGAAAGGAAAAGGAGGAAAATAGAGTATTCATGTTACATGAAGCTGATAGAAAAGGTGCAAATTCTTCTTAAGTACCCACTGTTTGGTTTTTTAAGTCATTAGGATGTTGAAGGTAGTGTGCTAGCCAGGTAATGTCTTTATTCATACCTTTGTGATGGGTCCCAAACCTGTAAATGAAGTTAAGTTCCAAGGCTTCCCTGTGTATTTGGCTTGTGGAATTGGCCTGAAACAACAGGGTGACTTTGAGATCCATTGATGAGTGCTCGGGCATGTTAAAGTGTTCTCCAACAGGTTTCTGTGTGTTGCCTTTTCGGATATCTGCTTTGTGTCCGTTAATTCTTTCCCATAGAGACTGTCCAGTTTGGCCAATATACTTGGCAGAAGGGCATTGCTGGCATTTGATGGCATAGATCACATGAATTGATGTGCAGTTATATGAGCTCCTGATGTTGTGGCTGATGTGGTTGGGTCCAGTGATGAAATCGCTTGTGTAGATGCGTGGACAGAGTTGGCATTGGGACTGATTGCAGGGGTGGGTTTCTGGATGAGTATGGTGGAGGTGTGCTGTATGGTTACTAGAAAGAATTTGTTTGAGGTTTAGGGGGTTATCTGTAAGTGAGGACTGGTCTGTCCCTCAAGGCCTGTGAGAGTGAGGGGTCATTTTCCAGGATAGGTTGTAGATTCTTGATAATATGTTGGAGGGGTTTAAGTTGTGGGCTTTTAGCTGATGACAAGTGGTGTTCTGTTGTTTTCTCTTCTTGGCCTGTCTTGGAGTATCAGAGGGGTAGTCGTGTTAGTCTGAATCTGCAAAAGCGATGAGGAGTCCTGTGGCACCTTATAGACTAACAAATTTATTGGAGCACAAGCTTTCGTGGGCAAAGACTCACTTCGTCAGATGCATGTAGTGGAAATTCCAGAGGCAGGTATAAATATATAGGCATAAGAAATTAGTACCAATGAAGAATAAGGCTAGAGAAAATTAGGTAAATTCAGTCAGGAAGCATGAGGCCCATTTCTAGCAGCTGAAGTGGAGGTGTGAACACCAAGAGAGGAGAAACTGCTTTTGTTCTTGGCTAGCCATTCACAGTCTTTGTTTAATCCTAACCTGATGGTGTCAAAATTGCAGATAAACTGTAGCTCAGCAGTTTCTCTGTGAAGTCTGTTCTTGAAGTTCTTTTGTTGCAGGATGGCTACCTTTAAATCTGCTACTGTGTGTCCAGGGAGATTGAAGTGTTCCCCTACAGGTTTCGGTATATTACCATTCCTGATATCTGATTTGTGTCCATTTATTCTTTTATGTAGGGACTGTCCAGTTTGGCCGAGGGACATTGCTGGCACATGATGGCGTATATTACATTGATAGATGTGCAGGTGAATGAACACGTGATGGTGTGGCTGATCTGGTTAGGTCCTGTGATGGTGTTGCTAGTGTAGATATGTGGGTAGAGTTGGCACTGAGGTTTGTTGCATGGATTGGTTCCTGAGTTAGTTACTGTGGTGCGGTGTATAGTTGTTGGTGAGAATTTGCTTCAGGTTGGCGGGCTGTCTGTGGATGAGGACTGGCCTACTTCCCAAGGTCTGTCAGAGTGAGGGATCATTGTCCAGGATGGGTTGTAGATCACTGATGATGTATTGGAGAGATTTTAGCTGAGGACTGTAGGTGATGACCAGTGGTATTATGTTGGTTTCTTTGTTGGGCTTGTCTTGTAGTTGAAGGCTTCTGGGTACATATCTGGCTCTGTTAATCTGTTTTTTCACTTTGCGCGGGTACTGTAGTTTCAAGAATGCATGGTGAAGATCTTGTAGGTGTTTGTCTCTGTCTGAGGGGTTGGAGCAAATGCAGCTGTACCTTAGTGCTTGGCTGTAGACAATGGATCGTGTGGTGTGTCCAGGATGGAAGCTGGAGGCATGAAGGTAGGCATAGCAGTCAGTAGGTTTTCAGTATATGATGGTGTTTATGTGACCATCACTTATTTGCACCGTAGTGTCCAGGAAGTGGATCTCTTGTGTAGACTGGTCCAGGCTGAGGTTGATGGTGGAGTGGAAATTGTCCTGGAGTAGTTCATGTCTGGGTACTCTTCTGGCTCTGTCGCACTGTTTTTTCACTTCTCCGGGTGGGTATTTCAGTTTTAAGAATGCTCTATATAGATCCTGTAGGAGTTTGTGTCTGTCTGTGGGATTGTAGCAAATCCGGTTGTATCTTAGGGCCTGGCTGTAAACAATAGATTGAGAAATGTGTCTTGGATGGAAGCTGAAGGCATGAAGGTAAGTGTAGCAGTCAGTAGTTTTCCAGTATAAGGTGGTGGAAATGTGTCCCTTATGTAATTGTACTCTAGTGTCAAGGAAGTAGATCTCTCATGTGGACTGATCCAGGCTGAGGTTGATGGTGGGATGGAAATTGTTGAAATCCTTGTGAAATTCTTCGAGGATCTCTTTCCCGTGGGTCCATATGATGAAAATGTCGTCAATGTAGAGTAAGGTACCAGAGGGCGAGAGCTGAGGAAATTTTGTTTAAAGTCAGCCATAAAGACGTTGGCATATTTGCATCTTCTCTCTCAGCATCATGTAACATGAAAACTCTAATTGACTATTTCCCCCCTTTTTCCCTTCCTTCTCCTCCCCGTCCCCTTTTTATTTTGGAACTGGATCTTGAATAACTCCATTCACCTGAAGAAGCGGGTTATGCCCACAAAAGCTCATGATACCATCATGTTTTGTTATTCTTTAAGATGCTGCTAGACTATTTGTTGTTTTTCAAGTTTTTAAAATATTGTTGCTTTTTTATATTGACAAAATATGATTTGTCACCTGGTTTTCTTGTCTCTTGAGTTTCTCTTGTCCCTATTGCTCATTTTCACAGGAGAAATATGAAGAAACGGTACATGGAACTCTACGATCTTAACAGAGATTTACTTAATGAATATAAAATTCGTTGCACTAATCACACCGAGCTGTTAAATAATCTTAAAGCTGTAAATCAAGCTATCCAGAGAGCGGGGCGGCTGCGTGGTAAGTCCAGGGCAGGGTTCTACTTTGGGGGTTCCATTTTTGGCCCAAAAGGGATTGGTGGGGAACTGCACATCTAAGAGCAAATGCAGGATTATTTGCTTGTCTTGAAGGCCAGATAAATTTTGTTGTCTGGTCCAGGATTTATTAGTGGGACTCTCACTTCAGTTTTCAGCTACAAAGGAATATGAAACCTCTCATAGTTTAAACTGCAGTGTTGCTCTCACTTTTAAAAGATAAGTACAAATTATCTCTAGGGCTGTAAGACGTATACCCTAATCTCAAGGATCCCAGGAAATGCCTCTTCAAATGTAGGTAGACTTTGGGCCAAATCCTGCAAATGCACTGCCTGGTCAGAGCACTGTTGGTGCATTGGGGTCCGCCTGTGCAGAGCAGCTTGAAAATTAGGAACTTTTTGTATTGCCCAAAACGGTATGAAACTTGAATCGTCGAAGCAGGGCTAAGTATAGAAAACATGTGGGAGTTAAAGCATAAATAACGTCTGACCATCAGTCCAAATTCTCTTTCTAACTCCTACTGCTCGTTTTTTGAGCTTTGCCCCGCCCCTTGCCCCGCCCCCAGTAAGTCATCAGCTCTGTCACTATTGAGACATACAAACTCAAATTGGATACATATGTTCTGAAAGCATGGAGGTAGATGAGAAATTGCTGGGTTGAGGACAGAAATTCAATGTCAAATCTAATTTGGGGGCGAAGGGAGGGTTGTGTGTGGGGTTGTGTTTTAGTTTTTGGCAGGAAGAAGCACCCTTGCTATTTCTGTTACATTAATTACTTACTAATTAATTGATTGTGAGTTGCTGGGCATCCTAGATTCTCAGGAAAGTCAGGAAGTTATGGATGCTCAGCATAACTTGGGATCCGGCCCCAAATTTGACTTTGGAATAACACTGGGGAAACAGTTCAAAATGGTTAACAAAATTTTCAGTAGTGCAAGACTTACTGCTTTTATTTAAATTAGTTTTACAGTCTCTCTCTCCCTCCCTATTTTTTTCCCCCCTGTGGGACAACAGAGTGAGATCATCACGTCACTTTGCATCCCACAGCACCTCCCTCCTCCCCTTTTCCTCTCAGAGAGGCCCCCCAGGCAGCCAGGGGGAAGAGCATGCAGGGCCTGCGAAGCCCTGGAGAGGCCCCTCTGCCAATGGCCAGGGGGAAGAGCTGGGTGCAAACTCGCTCTGGCCCCCCACCCTGGCGGCTGGGAGGAGGAAAGAACCAGGGCTGGATAGCGGTGGTGGTGGGGAAGGGGCTGCAGTGGGAGGGCAAGAGCAGGGGTGGGGGGAAGGAGGGGCAAGAGCTGGAGCGACCTTTGGGCTGGAGCAGCCTCAGGGCTCGGGTTAAGGGGGAAGAGCTGGGTCAGTGGCTGGGTAGGAAAGGGGCCGGGGGGGCCTCGGGAGGGGCGGGGAAGAGCCAGGGCCAGTGGGTGGGTGGGAAAGGGTGGGGAAGGGGCTGCAGTGGGAGGGCAAGAGCAGGGGTGGGGGGAAGGAGGGGCAAGAGCTGGAGCGACCTTTGGGCTGGAGCAGCCTCAGGGCTCGGGTTAAGGGGGAAGAGCTGGGTCAGTGGCTGGGTAGGAAAGGGGCCGGGGGGGCCTCGGGAGGGGCGGGGAAGAGCCAGGGCCAGTGGGTGGGTGGGAAAGGGGTTGGGAGGGAGGGG